AAAGCAACAGAAGATGGTCCAAGTGTCTGGGCCTCCGCCTCCACGTGGGAGACCAGGATGGAGTTCCAGGATCCTGGCTTTTAGCCTGGCCCAGTCCTGGCCATTGTGGCCATTTGGGGAGTTGAACCAGCAGATGAAAGATCTCTCTGTCTCTGTCTCTCTCTCCTTCCCTCCCTCACTCTCTCCATCCCATCCTCCTCCCTCTCTGTAACTGTGCTTTTCAAATAAATAAGCTAATTGGAGTTCCTGCACACTAGGCACTGCTGAACAGGGACACAAGAGTGCTTAGGAGGATGTCTTTCTCCCCTGAACCAATGCTGGCCTTCCAAGAAAGGGGTTGCAGATGCAAATAAGCAATGCGCACACCTGGCACCACCACAGCCCACCCCACACTCCTGCCTGAACCCTCCCGGGGGATCCACCCCTGCAGGAGGACGAACCAGCTCCACTCCATGCTGCCCTGGAACACAGGGAGATGGAAAAAAATCAATACTAACAGAAATCACTAAACACTCCTGCCCAGGGTCCTACGCACCTGTCCCCTAAGGGACTCCCACAGCGGAGCCATAGACAGCAGCTTGCTGTGCCATGAACACCACTCTCCCGCCTTCTCACACCATGGCTGCCTTCATGATCCTGTAACCCCCAGGCCCCTGTGCCTGGCACATACTCCATTAAAGGAAGACAGCTGGTGGCACTGAGGGACGAGGACTGTGTCACTGGTGGGGTACAGACTGAATGGAGGGAAGCCTTCCACCTGGCTGACGCCTGAGATCCCTCGGTCTGAGACCAGGCTGGGGCAGCTGCTCCTGCCGTGCCCACATCTGACCCCGGGGAACAGCGTCGCGCTGAGTCTTCCCGAGTCTCTAAGCTTTGGCCCGGTTTTCTGAACAGCTGGGGCTTTGCTGCTACCATGCCCGGTGTCCCCTGGTACCTCCTATATGCTGAGCCACTCTCCTGATGCCTGCTGAGCCCAGCCCTTCCCGTCTCTTCTCTCCTCTCGTCCCCTCTGTTCTACCTTCCACAGTGCTAGATGCAACTGGGCCACACGGTAGGAGCCACATAAATGTATGCGGAACAAACGCAGCTTTCCCTGGCTGCCGGCACTCACTGGGGTTTTTCCTCTTTTTCAGAATTCCTAGAACGCTGCTCTACAAAGACCCACAGAGGCAGCCCAGGCCCTGGGCACTCATTCCCTAAACGGGCTAAGGGCCAGAATGGCCCAGGAAAGGGACGGATGCAGGACCGCCAGGCCCCCGTGCCAGACCTCCCAAGTCGGAGTCCTTGGAGGGAGCCTCAGCAACACTCCCATGACCACCCTAACAGGAAGAAAGGTTGAGGAGTCAGCAGAGAGCTCCTCGCGTCTCCCAAGTGGACACCATCATCCCTCTTCGCCCAGCTCAGGCTGGGTTGCCCCAGGATGAAATCACAAGACAAACAGGAAATGCGGGAGAAACTGGAAAACCTCAGGCTCGCCTGAGGGAGGCCTGCTAGGAATAGCCAGGACCCCTGCCCCCACCACCGCTGGTGCCCCCTTCTGTCTAGCCTACACTGGAACCAAACAGAACAGCCCATCTCTCCTTTCCTCCCTTGAGAGTGTCCCCCAGCCCTGAGCCCAAGGCAGGCAGGCAGATAGGCAAACTCGGAAGTCAGTGAGTGAGCCCATGAGAGTGAAAACAGTCCAAATCCAGCCATCGCTGTTTAAAACAAAACACAAAAGAAAAACCTCGGGTAGGGGGAGGCAAAGGGGAAACGGAACCAGTCACTCAGCCAACAAAACCGGGTTCCTGCACACACAATGACAGCCATATGGCACACACACAGTCACGTCCACTTCCAGGCTGGGAGCCCTAGCCGGAAACGGGTGCTGCTCCAGGCCCACCCCCCAGCCCCCAGCCCCAGCCTGGCCTGCCCTGCCATCTGGGAGCCACTCTCATCAGGCGCGCACCTGCTCAGGGACCAGTCGGCCTTTCCAGGCCACCTTCAGGAAACTGGTTGGCTCCAGGAGCTTGGTTGGGTTGGCCCAGGGTCCCATGTGCACGTGTCCAATGCCTCCCCCCATCTGGACAATGGCTCTGGCTCCCCTGCCTGCATGCCTCTCTCTAGGACACAGCCAGGAGGCCCAGGCAAGTCAAAGGCCCTCTTTCCTAGGGGAGAGAGAGTGCTGAGTGGCGGCCAAGACACCAGGCTGTCCCTTTCCGTACTGGCTTGGGTCCCTCGCCCTTCTGGAGCTGAGGGTGACACAGAAGTTGTGCACATGAGGAGCCTCCCAGCACCCCAGTCTCACTCAGGGCTGTCGGTCTTTCATTGCCTAAGACCAAGGGACGGACAGGTTTTCTCTTTCTTTGGCCTTTGGTGGGGATGGAATTTTCCAAACGTTCTGCTCCTCTCCTCTCGAATCCTGTCCTGAAACAGCTGAACGAATGCCCCTCGGCTTCCGCCCACCCCAGGTACGGGGCCAGACGTCAGTGAGGGAAGCAGAGAGAGCACAGTGCCCACTGCACTCCCTCGGTGCCAGATGGATGCTCAGTGCACATCCCGAGGCCCCTCCAGAGCTGGGCGGCGTGCACCTCCACCCGTGCACCCGAGCGTCCACCAGGGTGAGGCCAGGCTTCATTACGTGCTTTGAAAACGTTATCCTTTGCACCAAGGGGCTTCTACTGCAGGAAGCCCAGGCTCTGGGTTCCTGGGTGTGGGTGCCTGATGTGTTTTATGTAACAGCCCAGGTCTGCTGGCCCTGGCAGGGGGTTCAGTTCATGCTCAGGGTGAGCCTGGGAGGCGCCCGGAGAGTCCGCTCCTCCGCTTCCCGGGAGAAGCAAGGTGGGGATGCTGCTTTGCAGGACACAGCAATATGGTTGGGCAGATGGAGAGAAGTTCCACCACAGGAAGCATACAGGGCAGAAATGGAAGGGGTTGGGTTTTTTTTTAAGCCTGCCGACAGCAGCAAAGCTAGGGCGACAGAAGTGGGAGAGCAAGCTGGGTGGGGGGTAATGAGGATGGGTGCTTGGAGAGAGACTGGGAGAAAGTGGGAGAAGGCAGCAAGAGCTTGGGAGGCCTCCAGGAGAGAGCAGGGGAGCAGGGACCGGCGGAGGGAGCGGCAGAGAGCCGAGAACGGATGTGTGAGGAGCAGCTGGCTGGGTCTGGTGACAATGAGACACTGGGGCCCAGGATTTTGAGGTAGTGATAGCGAGCTTCCAGGCTAAGCAGATGGAAGCCCGGGGTATTTCCAAACCACAGAGGGGAAGTTGTTGGGCAGGCAGGGTGCTCTACAAGGGGAAATTCTGCCTGTCATGTTGAATTTAAGATGGAGGTAAAAATCCAAAAGCATCCAGGAGTCACTGCCCAACGAGACAGCTCCAGGCCCAGGGGACAGGATGGCGCTACGGCAGCTGGAGACAGACGCAGGGCCCCGCTCACCCTGGCCTCTCCCTCCTTTGGGAAGGGTCTGGAGGCAGATGGCTCTTCCCTCCCTCATTGTGGCTGTCCCACCACGTCTCTCCAGCCTCCATAAGGGGCTGGGGAAGGCCATCTTGGAGTGGACCAGGACTCTCTCACTTCCTCTCGGGCACAGTGAAGCTGTGGGGAACCGTGTCTCTCCCCACCCCATGCCCCCTCATATTTAGGAGGAAAAAAAAAACTGGTCATCTCTTCTCTCTGGGGCCCCCTGGCTCACACAAACGCCACCTCCTAGTCCCCAGCCACAGTGCTGATTCAGGTCATTTACTCAGATCCATGTTAATGAGGTTGGTTTTTTTCTGTCACCTAATTAGTTCTCACCGAACTCCGTCGGAGCTAGTCGGGAGAGGGACAGAAGTCAGACTGGGATGTCACAGCAGCAGGGCATACCCCCATCTCTAAGCAGAACTCTCAAGTCCCCAGACCCAGGATCCTTTCTCCAGCTACGGGGGCCTCTGAAAGCAGAAAGTGGGTGCTCAGGGGCAGAATCTCACACAGAACCTTGAAGCTGGAAGGGGGCCCTACTCACATCTCTCCTTTAGGGGCAGAGGCCCGGGCTCTCCCTCAATTACCACCACCTGCCTGCTGGTGGGTGTCCCAGGAGCTGGAGGAGGAAGCAGATGGCCCGGGGCGAGGCCCATCTGGCCGCGTTCGCTAGAAGGTCACCGTGTCACTGGGGTGCCTGCGACACCAGGGGTCGCGACGCTTCTGCCAGCAGCGTGCGCCCACTTCCTGTGTTCCCCGGCCGCCTGAAATCAAAGGCCCCAAAGCCAAGAGATAGGAGAGATGGCCAGGGGCTTTTCTGTCCCCAGCGCCAAGCGAAGCGTCCCTGGAGGTCAGTCAGCGACCAGCAGCTCCGCTCCTGCCTCCGAAGCAAGCAACCACCGGTGCCCGGCGCACGCGTGATCCGACAAACACGTAGAGGGACCCGCCAGTGCCTCCCACGCCGTCGCGGCGCCCCAGCCCAGCGCCAGGCTTGGCCTGCGCCCGCCTGGCCGCAGCAGCGTGAGGGGACGCGCGTCGAAAGAGGGCGCCGCGGCCACAGCCACCCTCCGAGGCCCGCGGGCACTGGGCCCGGGAAGCCTGCCATCCACCAACTAGAGACTCGGATCCCCGCCCCACGGACGGCAACTAAGAAGCCTCCCGGGTCCGCGGCCCCACCCCCCGGCCCGCAGAGATCTCCGCCGCGCCCACCCTCCTCGGCCAAGCCTGACTAGACCTGGCCCACGTCCCCCAGAGCCTCGGCGACTGGGAGCGCACTCATCCCAGAGCAACACCGCCCTCACACCCCGGGAGCCCCGAGAGCAGAAAACGTGTCTCCTGGCGCGGGATTTATCCCCAGCCTGAAACTGTGCCCGGCCGAGATATGGCGAATCCAGGACGCCGGGTTTGCAGCGCCCCGTGAGCGAACCGCGTGTCACGGACCGCAGGCGCGCCAAGCCCCCTGCCCCGGACAGCATGGCCCGGCCGGGCTCGTGGAGCCCTGGGCCAGTGCCAGAGGGGCCACCGCGCGCCGACTCCCGCAGCCCCCCGGCTCCGCTCACCCTCTATGGAGATGACGTGCTCCCGGATCTGGTTCTGCAGTGCCAAATCCTCGATGCGCTCGATCAGGTCGTAGATGGCGTAGATATTGGGATGCACGGACTCGAAACGCTGGATCTCGGCCCGGATGGCCGCCGAGTTGGAGAGCGCGAACTGCTGGGAGGCCCCGCCGGCCAGCTGCTGCGAGGGGCCGCCGCCGCCCCCGGCCCCCGGCCCCGCACCGCCGAACTGCCCGCCGCCCCCCGCGCCGCCGCCGCCGCCGCTGCCGGCCCCCGGAGCCGCCAGGCTCTGCTGCTGCTGCGGGCTCTGTCCCCCGCCCGCCTGGAAGTTCATGGCTCCGGAGCCGCGGGGCCCGAAGCGGGCCCGGCTCGGGCCCGGGGCGGCGCGGCGGCGGCGGCGGCGGCGGCGAGCGGGCGCGCGGGGCTGGCGGGGCCGGGACTACGGAGCCGGCGGCGCGGAGCTAATGCATGGGGCCGAGGGCCGGGGGCGCCGAGGCCAGGAGGCACCGCCGCGCACGCTGTAGCCGCCGCCGCCGGGCGCTTCCCGGCGCCGCGATCCCGCAGCCTCGGAGCAGCCTCCAGCGGCAACAACAACGGACCGGGAGCGCGCGGCCCGGGCCCTCCCCCCACGTCATGCGCACGCACCGCCGCCCCCGCCGGCTCCGGCACACGCAGCCCGAGCCCCCTCCCCGCCGCCCCCGCCCCTCCTGCGCGCCGGCCCCGGCGCCCCCGCCCCTCGCTAGCTCGCCGGCTCTGCAGCCTCCACCCCCGAGCCGCGCGCTCCAGCCCTGGCTCCCGGCCCCTCCCACCCAGCCTCGGCCCTTCCGCCTCCTCACCAGCCCCCACCCACGCTGCCTCGAGGGCCAGCGGCTCGGAGGGGACAGCTGCCCCGGCCTCCTCCCAGGGCTGCCTGTCTCTTTCGTCTCCTTGCACTGGCCTGGGCGGGTGTCACATCTCTGGGCAATGCCCGAACGGCGTCCTGCGCCCTGAGGGTGCTGATAAACTCGGCTGATTGGCGGACGAGCCCGCCCGGGCCCTGCTGTGCGCCAGGGCCACAGCGTCTTGCCTTCAGTGCGGCACGGGCTCGCGGGGCCGCAGGCCCAGAGGTCAGCCTTACAACCCACCCGCCGCCCGGGTTCTTGCCCTGGCTCCCCGCCCGGGCTCTCCACTGCTGGCTGCGACTCCGAGGCTGGGAAGGGTTCCCGGCTTCTATTTCCAGTTCCTCCTGAGAGCTGCTTCGGAGGGCCCTGGAAGTGACACTTGGAGCCATAAGGTCCCCACGCGTCTTGTGAGCTGCCTGTCCGAAAAGACCCTTCCTGCCAGTCTGGGAAGGTTCGTTGAGTGTCGCCAGACCCGGTTGGTAGGCTGGGAAAGAAGAAGGACGAAGCAAGTATCATGCCTTCTTCCTCCACGCACCCGGTTCAAGAACCCACACGGTTCTCGTCCTTGTCCGTCCTGCTGTCGCTCCACCCTTTCTAGGGTCGGGGGCCCCATTCCCAACACCAAAGTGGCCTGCAGTTCTACTAACGCCCTGCTCCCCGTGACATTTCCTAAAATCCACGAGAAGTGGCAGGTACAGGGCAGTGACCCCAGCGAATGAACCTGCCAGGGCTACCGCCAGGGTATCTAATGGTACGGTCACCTTTTTACACGCATTTCATCTCCCAAGGCCAAGCTTTCCTGCCATGTGACTACCTACTCGGCTCTGCCGCATACCAACCCAGCCACCATTCCTAAGTTTTCCTTAACCTTCCAAAGACAAGGTGCAAGCCGATAAACACCTTGGACTTGCTAAGCTCCTGAGGGGTTCAAGTTCCTATCTACGTGGATGACCTTAGAGATGTCCTGTGCCCTCTTGGGGCCTGGTCTATGCACTACAGTGGTTAAACAGAAAACCTGAGCTCTATGATTTGAAAAAGGGCAATAACATCTCTCGCTCTCTCTCGCTCTCTCTCTTTTTTTTTTTTTTTAATTTGACAGGCAGAGTTAGACAGTGAGAGAGAGAGACAGAGAGAAAGGTCTTCCTTCCATTGGTTCACCCCCCAAATGGCCACTACAGCGCGCCGATCCGAAGCCAGGAGCCAGGTGCTTCTCCTGGTCTCCCATGCAGGTGCAGGGCCCAAGCACTTGGGCCATCCTCCACTGCCTTCCCGGGCCACAGCAGAGAGCTGGACGGGAAGAGGAGCAACTGGGACTAGAACCCAGCGTCCATATAGGGTGCCGGCACCCCAGGCAGAGGATTAGCCTAGTGAGCCACAGCGCCGGCCCCAATAACATCTCTTTTAGACACTTCCTTAGAATTGACAGCAAGAGGCTGCACAGGTATGTCGTCCAAGAGAGATGTTGAAGATGAAGTGCTCCTCCAACATGTTGTCCCAGCAATCAGCACACATCCATTTTAGTGTTGATGTCCCAGCTACATGACTGTCCTTTCTGTTAGAATATGAGCCAGGTGACAGCAGTGTGAGGGAGGGTCTAATTCACCACTGTATTCTCCATTGTTTCTTTTTTTTTTTTAACATTTTTATTTTATTTATTTGGAAGAGTTACAGAGAGGAGAGAAAGAAAGAGAGATCATCCATCCACTGGTTCACCCTCCAAATGGCTGCAATGGCCAAGGCTGGGCCAGGGTGAAACCAGGAGCCAGGAGCTTCATCTGGGTCTCACATGTGGGTGCAGGGGCCCAAGCACTTGGCCAGGCTCAGCTGCACTTTCCTAGGTGCATTAGCAGGGGGCTGGATCAGAAATGCAGCAGCCAGATCTGGAACCAGCACCCATATGGGCACCATGCCTCAATGCCAGCCCTCCCCCACGTTGTATCTTGTATGCTTGGAACACAGTACATGGACTCCTGGCTCCGGGTTTTGGCTTGGCCCAGCCTTGGCTAATGCAGCCATTTGGGGAGTGAACCAGCGGATGGAAGATCTTTGTCTCTCTCTCCTTCTGTCTCTGAATCTCTGCCTTTTCAAATCAATAAATAAATATTTTAAAAAAATAAAGATGTGTTGATTTATTTGAAAGTCAGAGTTACATAGAAAGAGAGAGAGAGAGAGAGAGAGAGAGAGGTCTTCCATCTGCTGGCTCACTCACCAATTGGCCACAGCAGCTGGAGCTGCATCGATTCAAAGCCAGGAGCCAGAAGCTATTTCTGGGTCTCCCACATGGGTGCAGGGGCCCAAGGACTTGGGCCATCTTATACTGCTTTCCCAGGAGCATTAGCAGGGAACTGGATTGGAAGTAGAGCAGCTGGGATTAGAACCAGTGCCCATATGGGATGTTGACACTGCAGGCAGAGGCTTAACCTTCTACACCACAGCATCAGCCCCTAAAAAATAATTAAAAAAAAAAAAAATCTTGGGCTGGTGCTATGGTGTAGCAGGTTAACACCCTGGCCTGAAGCGTCGGCATCCCATATGGACGCCAGTTCTAGTCCCGGCTGCTCCTCTTTCGATCCAGCTCTCTTCTATGGCCTGGGATAACAGTAGAAGACGGCCCAAGTCCTTGTGCCCCTGCACCTACGTGGGAGACCTCGAAGAAGCTCCTGGCTCCTGGCTCCTGCTTCGGATTGGCGCAGCTCTGGCCATTGTGGCCATCTGGGGAATGAACCAGTGGATGGAAGACCTTTCTCTCTGTCTCTACCTCTCTCTGTAACTCTGTCTTTCAAATAAATAAAATAAAAAACAAATATTTTTAAAATAAATTTTTAAAACATTATTTGAAAGGCAGAGTTACAGAGGAGAGAGAGAGAGAGAGAGAGAGAGAGAGAGAGAGAGAGTGTCTTCTGTCCGCTGGTTCACTCCCCAGTTGGCCACAATGGCCGGAGCTGGGCTGATCCGAAGCCAGGAGCCAGGAGCTTCTTCTGGGTCTCCCACGTGGGTGCAGGGGCCCAAGGACTCAGGCCATCCTCTTCTGCTTTTCCAAGCCATAACTGAGAGCTGGATTGGAAGTGGGACAGCTGGGACTCGAACTGGCTCCAGATTCGGCACTGCAGACGGCAGCTTTACCAGCTTCACCACAGTGCTGGCCCCTAAAAATAAACCTTTTTTTTTTTTTTTAAAGAATTATTGATTGACTTGAAAAGGCAGAGAAAGGGGCCGGCACTGTGGCATAGCGGGTTAAGCCGCCGCCTGCAGTGCTGACATCCCATATGGACACCAGTTCGAGACCCGGCTGCTCCACTTCTGATCCAGCTCTCTGCCATCGCCTGGGAAAGGAGCAGAAGATGGCCCAAGTCCTTGAGCCTCTGCACCCATGTGGGAGACCCAGAACTAGCTCCTGGCTCCTGTCTTCGGATCAGCACAACTCTGGCTATTGCCACCAACTGGGGAGTGAATCAGCATATGGAAGACCTTTCTCTCGCCCTCTCTCTCTCGATGCCTCTCCTTCTCTCTGTGTAACTCTGACTTTCAAATAAATAAATCTTAAAAAAAAAAAAAAAGGCAGAGATACAGAGAGGGAAGGAGAGAGAGAGAAAAGGGGGGAGAGACAGAGAGAGCAAGTGAACTTCCATCCACTCCAAAACCAGGAGTCAGAAGCTTCTTCCAGGTCTTCCATATGAGTGCAGGGGCCCAAGCACTTAGGCCATCCTCCTCTACTTTTCCCAGGAACATTAGCAGGGAGCTGGATTGGAAGTGGAGCAGCTTGAACTCAAACCACTGCGCATATGGGATGAGGGGCTGCAGGCAGAGGTTTAACCTGCTACACCACAGCACTGGCCCCCAGGTAGATTATTTTCAATCAAGGCTGGCCTGTAAAATCCAGGAGATGAGGTTTCTGTGGCTACAGGATCCCAGAGGAAGGAGAGGAAACCCACAGAGATTAGCTAGACCAGGCCAGGCTGGGACTCAACATCCTTTAAATTATAACACTGTAATGACACAATTTATGTGCCAGGTTTAACACTAGATGAGCAAATATCTACTAAATGGCAAATATTTTACATACATTTAATAAACCATGTAACTTATTCCTCACAATTGAGGTAGGATGAATGTTTTAGAAAAGAAACTTTTTTTTTTAATTTATTTATTTGAAAGAGTTACACAGAGAGAGGAGAGGCAGAGAGAGAAAGAGAGGTCTTCCATCCGCTGTTTCACTCCCACTCCCCAATTGACTGCAACAACTGGAGCTGTAGCGATCCGAAGCCAGGAGCCAGGAGCTTCTTCTGGGTCTTCCACGTGGGTGCAGGGACCCAAGGACTTGGGCCATCTTCTACTGCTTTCCCAGGCCATAGCAGAGAGCCGGATTGGAAGTGGAGCAGCCGGGTCTCAAACCGGAGCCCATATGGGATGCCGACGCTTCAGGCCAGGGCGTTAACCTGCTGTGCCACAGCGCAGGCCCCAAAATTTATTTTCAAAGAGATTTAATAACCCACCCAAGGCCACACTGCCAAGCACACGATAGAGCCTATGCAGGGACAAGGTGGAGAAGGGGGCCAGGGGAAGGCGGAAGCTTGGGGAAGTTATCTTTAGCCAGCCTGGTGAGCAGCCCACGGGTACTGGGCTTTGAGTCCAAGTGGCCTTCTGCCATCCATTCTGACATAAGGGCAAGCCGGGATAGGGGCCACCTGAGTTCCCTAGGGCTCTCATCACTGCATCATCAACACGGGCGCTCTGACGTGCACCTGCTGACGTTGGTGTCTGGAACCAC